TGAAAAAAGGGTAGGTAGTCAATACAAGGTGATATTATTTTCTCCTTCTTGTTGTTTAATTCAGTGGGTAAGCATGTCTTTATAAGGAAGTTGTATATGCTTTTGAGTCACAAAGTTGGGATTTTTGATAAAAAGAAGTCCAAAATTGAAACAATTACATTTGCAATCTGGCAGCTCTAGGACTGAGAGCAAAACTGGGCCTTGAGCTGTACCACCCCTGGCCTTGGTTAGTAAAACACAAATCTGACTAATGGAAACCTGGCCACAGGAAAAAAAAAAATACTCAAAACGCCCACAATTTGCCCATCTTTTAGTAAAACACAAATCTGACTAATGGAAACCTGGCCACAGGAAAAAAAAAAATACTCAAAACGCCCACAATTTGTCCATCTTTGGGGTTTTTTTCCCTTCCTATTTTTTTTTAAACCGCAGACATTTAATGCCATGCTTGCCTGAGAGCTTTTTCCTGTAGCTAATAATACTTTGCACTGCTGTAGTGCCTTTAATCCAAAGATCTCAAAGTGCTTTGCAGGCATTAATGAATTAAGCCTCATAACACCCCTTTGAAGTAGGTATTATTATAGCAGTCTTAGAGATGGGCTGAGTAATTTTCCTGAAGTTGTAGAGCAAGTCTCTGACAGAGTCAGGAATAGCCTGCCCAAGTCCCGCGTCTCGGTGGTTTCTCTAACACCCCGCCATCCTCCCAGACTAAGACTCTTAAATCATTTTAATTTTAAATAATTACTTTGATTTACTTACTGTATTTAAGTCATATCTCTGTTAAATACAAGGGGGGGGGGGCATGGATTTATCCTTGGTGGGTTCGGCATTCACTGCCTGTGAGAGTCGGGCTGATAACGTGAAGTTAAACCGACACAAATCCCCGTGTGGGGATGCTCTTGCGGGGGGATAGGAGGGGCTTTTCGGGGTTTAGTTTGAGCCCCTGTCTTCAGGCACACACATTCGGCCCTGTACGGCTACATCAGCGTGGTTGACACCTACCCGAGCTGCCTGTGCCTCGGCGCAGCTGCCTGAAATTACCAAAATTACTGTTTTCTATAGGCAATGATCTGCAGCGTAAACGGTCCTTTACACGGCTAGAACTGCACCTATGCGAGCAGTTTCCATTATTTGTGACAGATGAGTCCTCTTTCCTCCTTCCTGACGCTCTTAACTAAGACGAAATGAATAGTCAGGAGCCGAACCAAGTCTAACTGAGCTCAAAAAGCCATTTGAACCGTGGCTTGAATTGCCACACGGCACTGGCAGAGTTTTAACTAAAACTTAAATTTGTGCTTTTAATTATATTTTCAATTATGTATGTACCTTCCCAGTGCCATTAAGACCCAGCTGCACAGAAAGGCTCCCTGCTTGAAGTATTTTAGACTTTGTGGAGGGGTGTCTCTTGGTGTGATTTTAACCTCTTCTTAACTGGTGGGGCAAGCCTGGGTTTTGGCCAAAGTAACTTTCTGTAACTTTCTCTGGCAGCAATTTTAGAAGCATCCAAAAAGGTAAATTGGTGTAGGCCTCCAAAGAAACAAACCCATATTCAATAAATTCACACTCTCGTGCCAAGCAGTTTGCCTTGCTTAGGTTAATTATTGTTCTTTATAGCTCCCTGAAAGGAGGTTGCAGGGAAGCAGGGGTCGGTCTCTTCTCCCAAGTCCCAGGTGATGGGACAAGAGGAAATGGCCTCAAGTTGCACCAGGGGAGGTTCAGACTGGACATCAGGAAATAATTTTACACGGAAAGGGTTATTAAACCTTGGAATGGGCTGCCCAGGGAAGTGGTTGAGGCACTGTCCCTGGAGGTATTTAAAAGATGGGTTCACGTAGTGCTTAGTGACATGGTTTAGTGATTTTTGGTTTTGGTTTGGTTTTGTTTGGGGTTTGTTTTGGTTTGTTTTTTTTTGTTGTTGGAGGGTTTTTGGGGCTTTTTTTGTTTGTTTGTTTTTTGTTTGGTTTTTTTTTTTTTTTAATCAGAGTTAGGTTGATGGTTGGACTAGATGATCCTAAAGGTCCTTTCCAACCTAGACAATTCTATGATTCTACGATTCCTGGGTACTGCTGTCACACGCCTTTCAGCTGTGCAGTGCTGGTGTGGTGGTGACAGCGGTGTTCCCTGGGCATACAGTGCTCTGAGATGAATTAGGGCTGAGACAGGGGAGGACTCTGGCTGTGCCCTGGGTGCTTGCCCCACTCCCAGGCCCCTGCTGTGCCCCAACAAGGCGGCTCTGCCAGCAGGAAAACGAAACTAATAATAATAATTAAAAAAAAGCCACGCAAAGCAACAAGCACTAAGTAATCCCTCAAAATGGCAGATGTAGATGGCCAGCGTCTACAGATAGGTTTTTTGAGTAGCTGTGCCAGGCATGGTGCTGAGCAAGAGAGGGTGGGTGTCCATGTGCGTGATGGCACGTGGTGTGTGGGGAGAGGGTGACCTGGCTGGACCACAGGCTCCACCGTTACCCAGAGCTTAACAGTGGCTGCCAGTTCACGTGATGAGAAGCTGGAGAGTCACCGTTACCAGGGAATCTGTAGGGTCTTTTTCTGCATCAGCTTTCAGATCAAATTTACTCATGGGAGAAAAACCCTCACCCAAACCCCATGGTGTTTGCTAACTGCCAGCCTTGCAAATACAGCCCAGAATGGGGAAGTGTGGCTGCCACCCCTCTGCCTTGTGCTGCCTCGTTAGTGGGGAAGGTTTTACGTAGAGGATGGCCACGACACTGCCAGCCATTCTCAATCAGGCCAACGATGCTGCGGCGCCATTTTCTTTCTCCTGTCCTTGGTGTTAGCTTGCCAGCAACCTCTCATTTCAGTGTACGGCCATCAGTGCTACCCTAATACCAAAAGACATAGAATGATAGAATCATCTAGGTTGGAAGGCATCTTCAAGATTATCTAGTCCAACCATCAACCTAACTCTGACAAAAAAAACCTGCAGGTAAGCATCCCGTGGGGCTGAAGTCAGTTACTCCAGCTATCTCAAGTCTCAGGCACTAGATTACTTTGATAAACACGTTCTGAAGACATTCTACACCTTTTCCATATGCACTTTCCACCGGTTGGCCCGACAGCCAATGCCTGCTCTTCTCGCGCGTTGCTTTCCTACAGTATTGATGAATATTTCCCAACTGAAAGTTCATTGACAAGCTCCCGTGCACTCTTTCTGGCTGATGCTAAAGTCACAGTGCTGTGATTCCTCGAGAGGCACGTACGCCTCCCATAACCTTTCATGGCTTCTGTGGGGGGTCTTTTCACTTTCCTACACATATATAGCTCTGTATGTTACTTTCTTGGTAGGAATGCGCTAATTGTCACATGTCTTTCTTTTTTAAATAAATTAATGTCATAATTATCCTCGTTTTCTTCCTTCCTGCTACAGGCAATTGCTGGAACGCTTTAGCATTTTTTGAAAAGGAAGAAAAAAAAATAAAGAAAAAAAAGGAAGAACTCCCACCCCCCTCCTACTTGTCTAGGGAAAGAATTGTTACCACTCCCAAGACCAGGCCATAGTATCACTTAAGCACTCTTGAAATTTTTTTTTTAACTTCAGCTGCACATTTTGGGTTAAACTGGTTTTCATTCCCCATATTTTCAAAGCTCAGCCTTGTTACAATTTAGATATATCTTCAGCTTAGCTTTTGTCATGTTCTCCTAGACACTTTTTCCCCACTGGTTTAGGGAACATGGTTGCCCCTGTGAGGCACCCGACCAGCCCCACACAAAAAGAAGAAATCGTGCGTCCCTCCATCGCAGTGTTGGGCGGTGAGAAGGCTTCAGGTGGGCACAGCGCGCCACGCCAGCAAAGGCATAAGACAGCAGGACTTTGGCAGTGGTATTCCTTGATTTAGGGTCATATTTGTTAAAAGGGCAAAGAAGCAAAATGTTTGCCTTGGCTGAAATTGCAGGTAAGGTTTCAGCCACGCCGAACACAAACTACACCATCATTTGACGGCCATGGCTGAAATTGCAGGTAAGGTTTCAGCCACACCGAACACAAACTACACCATAATTTGACGGCCACTGCCCAGCGTGGCCAAGTTTATTCCTCTGGCTTCTCGGGTAGACGGATGCTCCCCTCATCACATGCTGATGACGGTGGTGGATACAGGAATTTTAAGGGGTTAAAGGGTGCTGACATTTATTAGCCTGACCCTCATGTTATATGGTTCTACTCGGGTTCATTTCCACCGGCGCTGGAGAGGTGCCGTATAGGTGCTATAGGCTGTATCCCAAAGCTGCCAAAAGAGACCTCTGGTTTGCTGACGGGACGTTTCAGGTGCCACCCTGCTCCCAGGAAGAGCACAGAGGATCACCTGGCAAGCAAGAGGAGGGCAGGCAGGTTTGTAGGATCCCCACCAGCTCCCTCCTGCTTTCCCAAATATTGCCTTTTCCCTTTAGGAAATCTGGAACCATAGAATGGCATCTGTCAAGCCGTAGGCACTTGAGAGTAAGCACCCATCAGAATAACTTACTGTCAAAAACAGGTACAAATTCATTTCATCCCACTTTGTGCCATATGCTGCTGTCAAAACTTCATGAACTGTTTAGGCAGCATGTTGGGACATTTTGACTAACTATGAGCAGAGCTATTTTTTCCATAGCTTTGTGTCACTGGCGTTTATAATTGGGTATTTCCCTGAATTTGCTCTGGGCTCCGAACAGACAAGCCTGTAGAGAGTGAACATAACCTGGGAACAAACCTCTGGATTTAGTCATCCCCATTCACGGGTGCCCCAACTCTGAACTGGACCTTGCACTGTTCTACATGGTTCAGTAATCAAGTTTTTCTTCTGTTTTAATGCCTATATTTTAAAGATGGGAGTGAATCTTTTTCCTGTGACTTGATGAAAACCTCGACTTTTGGAGCAGGCTGGTAAGCTGATTCTAAATCTCATTTTCTGCTCCTTGAGCCCGGCTGTTTTGTTGTCCTGACAAGAAAATTAACTAACTAGCACACCCTGCGCTGTAATAAGTGGGAAACAGACCACAGGATAGGTAAAGAACACATTTGCTGTTTTATTGGTGCCTTGCAGGGCAATAATACTGAAAAAGGGGAATGCAAAAGAAACAAAAAACCAAAAACCAAAACAAAAAACCCAGGATGGTGGCAACCCACATTGTATTTTTTTTAAAGAGTACATCAACTCCTGTTTTTTTTTATTTATTGTGGCATGAATGATAACATAAAACCAAAACATGAAAATATACAACTTATATTACACTATGTGTTATGAACAAAATATAAATCTATAACTCTATGTTATATTTACATAATTATTTCTTTTATTAAATTTCAAGTGAGATGGTAGGTTGCACATACTTTGTTTTAAGCTCCAGGCATTTGATTGTCTCTATTTCTTTTCTATTTTCATTTCACTTGTAAAATCCAAAACGTTAGAAGGAGTAAGAGCTTTAGAGCCAATGGAGCTATATAAATACTGTTTCAGCAAACCAGTGACAAAAACACTGGGGAGTAGAGAAATCAGTCAGTAGAAAAAAAACGAACTTGACATGTTCTTCAATCTGGGAAACTGACAAGTTAAGATAAAGTTGAAAAAATGTAAATATAAACCAAGCTAAACAGCCAGCCCATGCCCTGTGAATTGAGGATACACTTGAATCCACATCTAGTGAATTACACACAGTTCTTTGCAAAATTGAAGGTACGATTCTATCGAGAAGTGGGCAGATAAAAATACTTCCTATCCGATACAACATGCCCTTAAAGGTACGAGATATCATATAGTTGCCGTTCATTCTAGCAGATGAATTCTTGCTAAGTAAGGTCTATGTTTCCACGGAGTATAATTATTTTTGATGTTACGAACGTGATGTCAGAGGCTTCTTCGGGGACAATAACAGCTCATCTCTTTGGATTAAAAAGAAAAAGCTCTGAAAATGTGCTGTAAAAAGGTTAAAAACAATTTACTTTCTAAAAAATGATTTAATTAAAGAGAGAGTCTACTGCAGTAACCAAATCTTTGAAATAATGTCTTCGAAGAAAGAATTTCTTCCATATGCATTCGTAATAAGAGGATTTGGTTACAAAACTAATTAAATGCTATAATAATAGCTAGTGTTCTTTTCTGGGGGCCTGATTAATATAGCGGAACGGTTAAATAAAGATGTTAAATGCACTTAAAAATCCTATTTTACTAATATAAGGCATGAATAAATTGAAAAAGGATATACTCTGTGTTATTTAATTGAGCTTAGAAGCAAGTGCCTCAGTTTTTTTTTTTTTTTTCCCTCTTTCTTTTCCCCTTTTCCCCACTGCTGGTGTTGTTCTTTTGTAAGTTTGCGAGATGCACAGCCTAAGCGGCTCCCCAAATTTAGGAGGAGGTGGTCTGCATCCCCCCCCCCAACCCTGCTGGCAGCTCCCCAAGATCATCCTTGCTCACCAGGGTCCCAGGGAAGAGGGGAAGGGAGCCCGCCTCGGCGTTACTGCCTCCATGCGCTTTTAGGTTAATACCATCCTAATCTCTTCTAACCTGGTTTTTCTACAAGCTCCAGGGCACAGAAAAAAAAAAAAAAAAAAAAGAAACAAGACAAGAAGATCCTTTTTTTATAAATGTATGTTTTGCTTTGTTTTGGGTTGTTTTTGTTTTTTTTTTTTTCCTAAGAAATTAAAGAGGGACAAACAGGGCCTCATTTTCAAATCTGGTCTTCAACTGCTGCAGGATATATGGGCGCTCATCCTTGGACCAGCAAAACGTTAGCACAGGCGTTAAGTATTTTGCTGGTTTGGGATCCCAGAGCCTTTTTTTTTTTTTTTCTTTCTTTTTTTTTTTTTTTCCTTTTTTAATTTTTTAACATTGCTGCATGGGTTTCGACACCCAAATGCAGGCCGTGGATAGTCGGCTGGAGCTACCCCATTGGAAAAGCCTGATGGGACCCCAGGCTCTAGTGCAGTCTCTCAGATGGAAATGTGTACACGGTTAAGAAAAATCAGTGTTTATCTGAGCCCTCGCCCAGGCCAAGGCAGCGAGCAAAGCAGAGCACTCCTGCAGAAAGAAGGGCTCTGTCCCCCCATCCATCCATCATCCATCCATCCATCGCCCAGAGCAGAGCTCGGTCCCGCAGCCCCGGCACGGCAGCTCCTCCAGCCTGTCCCCGGAGAGGGGGCTGCCTCCAGGAGCATCTCCTGCGGCGCAGCCCCCCCAGTTTGGGGCTGAAACTCGGTCCTGCTGAAGTCAAAGGGCCTTTTTCCCCCTTGACTTCCCCCACGGCCGGCTTTCCAGCCTCTTAAGACTCGCTCCAATCACGGCCAGCCGCAGCGGCACCTACCTGGAGCTAAAACAAAGTATTCTGGTAGCCCAAAGTGACACGATTAAACCAGAAGAGTCTCTATAACGTGGTGGAAATCAAGCATCCAGCAAATGTGAGGTGAACCCACAAGAGTCAGAAGTAATTTGTTCACAAAGACAGGGAACAAATTTAAAAGTTTAAAAAAAAAAAAAAAAAGGAGCAAATATCTGTTTTCACATTGTACATAATAATGATATAAAAACAATTGTCTATTATTATTTTTTTTTTCCTTCTTATCCAAACAGAGTGCTTCAAAAAAATTGGCTCTAGATGACTGGTGTAATTAAATAACTAAAATGAGTGATGAGAGAGCAGAAGTCAATTAAGATTGAAAACAACACTCCCATTAATTCACTCCATCATAATAAACATCAGAAGTTGACATGGCTGGGGCCAAAATTAAAATAAAAGAAAGAGGAATGGTGTGAGCAGAAGAAGAAGTGATTTGTTTTCATATGTATATATATATATTTATATATATATAAAAAGGCAAGGTGGGGAGGGGTATCCATTTTAAATAGCCTAACAGCTTCATTTGCTGCACTGCCAAATTAGAACAGAATAAAATAAAGTTAAAAAAGGGGGGGGATAAAATAAATTATACATAATTTACTAATCTGGGAACAGCTGACCATTATTATTATTATTATTATTAAAACCATTACAACACTAGCAAGAAGAGGCAGTTCAACTGAAAAAAAAAACAAAACAAAAACCAACAGTCATAAAATACAAACAAAAAGAACCCTCTCTGACATGGAGGATTTGATCAGCTACTCCAAGCATAACTTCAGAGCAAATCTTCTGAGAGAGAGAAAATAGAAAAGAATTTTTCGAGGCGGAGGTGGAAAACCAAAAAAAAAGGGAAAAACGGGAGAAAAAAATAAAACAGACGTTGCAGGGTAAAACTATCACACACCCAAACCGCTCGTCGGAGTATTGTCCTAAGTCTTCACTGGCATTGGCTTGTTTGCTTTGCACGAGGTCTGCAGAGGGCAAGTTACACTTCAAGTGGGGTTTCAAGAGGCAAAGAAAGACCTCCCGTATCTCCTGCCCAGCCTCTCCCCCGACCTGCCCCTTCCATCCCCCACCTGGGCTGAAATGACCCACTGCACCAAGGGCTGAACCTCCCTGATGGAGGGCACCATTTGCAAAATCAGCGCTGCCAAGTATACTGAAGACCACGGTGCTGGTGAACGCTTGGGTTGGGATCTCACTGGCACTAAAATGGCTATTTTCATAAGTTAAAAGTGGTAACAATAGCCATGGGTCTCTCTGCAGGGGCTGGGATTTACCAGGGAGCAACGTGACTATCAAGGCGGCATCCTCAGCTAGAAAAGTGACTCAGAGGAAGGCTTTTGCCTCAGTACAATCCTAAGACTCTGCTTCCCAGGCCAGAGAGGAGCTCCTGGAGAGCTACTGGTTGGAATTAGAGGTAGCCTTCTTGGTTGGTTGGTTGGTTGGTTGGCTGGTTTAGATATAATGCTTCTCTCTTGCTACACAAGCCCAGGTCCTCTCCTTCTACAGAGTGAGGAGATGAAGAGAGACTCTTCGATTCACTTGTATTTACATAATTTTTTTCTGAAATAAAGGGTAACCTTCAGTGACCTCACTGGAAATACAAGAGGCTAACTGGCTCAGGATTACAGCTATGTCAACCTGCCTTCCTCATCTGGCTGCTGGTGCCCAAGGAAGGCAAAGCTGCCCAAGCAACATGCCTAAGGGCCCTAGAACAATACCCCAAATATTATAGCCCAGGAGACCCATTTTTCACTTGTGAGAAGCAGCAGCGAAGGAAACTCAGCACCGCAAAGGTCTGGATTCTTACATGCCGACTTTGAATATGGAAATCTCTTCATAGCTATTAGCCTTCCTGCCTACACAAACAACCCACTGATAAAAATAGATTTCTTCAAGTGCAAAGGAGAAAAAAAAGTCAGTTTAAAATAAATCGCCTTTTGAATCAGAGATCAGTACTCAGCCACCCTGAAGGTAGAAGTTCATTAAAAATGGACATCACAGTAACCTAATTACACTCAGCAAGGAGGTAACGTTTCCCGTTGCCCTGCCCTGTGCTGAACAAATCACATTTTGGATAAGCCTTTTTTATGTTGTTTATGCTGCCACTTGAAGTGTAAATTAAAAGCAAAGGCTCTTTACAGACCAAGTCATTTGGAGGGTGCGGGACTTCATTCTGGAACATGCTTTTTGCTCACGATAGTCTGATATTATTCTTATTAGTACCATAAACACGCACACATGGAAATCCAAGATCATAAAATATTTTTTTTCTCTAAATTTCTTATGTCTCTCTCTCTCTCTCTTTTTTCACCTGAGAACGGCACCTACAGTTTCCTTTAAAAAGCAAAACCAAAACCAAAAAATAGATGTCTAATCTCACCAGCTGCTGGTATATCAGGATCTTCAAGGGATTGTCTAAGATACAACACTGTCCTAACTTAAGACAGAGCAGGAAGCAAAAGAAAAGCAAAAGAAAAACAAAACAAGAAGAAAAAAAAAAAAAAAAAAAAAGCAAATTGGACTAGTTCAGCGCTTTAGTACAAATTTGGCACTTGCTCAAAGACTCAGTATGGTGTGCAACTGATGAAGAGAAAGTCCTCTCTTGAAAGGAAATAATTGCTTGTTGGGGTTAACAGAAACAGACTCCCCACTTCCTTCCTTGCCAGCCACGCGCACAGGCACGCACGCACACGCACACACACTTCTGACCCAGATTTTCCAGGGAGGAGGAGGAGGAGGAGGAGGAGGAAGAGACAGAGGAGGGGCGGGGGGGTCAAAGGAATTTTATCTTTTTTCTTTTCCTGTCAGGTGCATTACCAAAAAAAAAAAAAAATTATTTCTCTTTAAACTGTAGCACAAAACAACAAAACACATTCACAAGCCACTTGTTGGCACTGTGTACCTGAGTGAGAATTTCTAGAACATTGTAGAACAAACAGCCATAAAGTTTATTTGAAAAAAAAATAATAATAATAAAAGGTCGACGGGTAAGACTTCAGTGCTTGGGTATAGCAGCTGAATTACTGGCATTATTTTACCCATAGCTTATATCATTCTGTTGTTGTTGTCGTCGTTGTCTTTGTTTCCTTTCTTCTGAGCCTTTTTTCTTCTGATGCAGGCTGATGTCTATTAGTCAGCTGATGTCCCAACTAGTTAAGACTAACAGTTAAAGTAACAGTCAGTGTATGAGAAAGTTAATGTGCTTGGCCACTGGCAAGGATAAACCAGATGGGGCTTTATTTATTTTTTTTTTTTCTTTTCTCCTTGAAGTCCTGTAGGTCACGGGATATTTGGACCCTGATCAGTTGGCTTGCCCCGCAATGTGATTTTCACTGTCACTGCCATAGTCCGCATCGGGGTCATCCTCTTCCTCATCGTACTCATCGTAGATCTCTCCATTGACGTCATCGGTCTGCATCTCCTCTTTGATGTGAGGCTCCTCGCCTTTGATGCCGTAAGTGCTCTGGATGACGGGCATCCCGGGCTCGGGGCTGCTGGACACGCTCGAGTGCTCGGAGGGCAGGTGTGGGGAAGGCATTCCAGCCATGGCGATGGCTCCTGGGTAAACGACGCCCGCCGTGGCGATGGGGATCTGTGCTTGTTGCCTGCCGTGGAGAAAAAGCAGAAGGATGTTTGAATGCTGGAAGAAGCAGAGGGCAAGACAACAGCACTCTGCAAGGCCGGAGCATACGCTCTTGTGCGTTCACAGGAAGCTCCTGGACGGCCCATAAAAGACCACCCTTACACCAATGTTCCAGATTCACCAACTGATGCTCCTGAAATGAACATCAACCCCAAACCAACGTCATTGCTAAGAAACCCCCATCTCTGTAGCTCTGCCTGAACCACACAGCTTCAGCTCGACTCTGTGCTGGGTAAACGGGATGTCCCATATTTTTGTCCCCAGCCAAAAATAAAAAACTTTTCAATTGCGGTCCAACTTGAAAACCACGGATTTTGGAAAAAAATCTCCCTTTTAAATAATCCAAACTGCTGGCAGGGCTAGACATAAAAGTAACACCCTGCCAACGGGAGAGACGCAGTGTTTGCGCGGGGATGGGGAGGTGCTGTGGGAAAGCACCAACAGATCAGGGGAAAGCAAGGCAGGTGTCTCCAAAGAGACACTCCACCTGCACTCAGGGACCTGGCCATTCTCAGGGAGAGGAACAGTGGGCTTTCTGGGGGCAACACGGGTTCACAGGATGATCACTAAGGGCCTCCCGTGGGAAGGTGAGGGTTTCCGCAGTGAGCGGCACTGGTGAAAGGCAGAACCTTGGAAGGAAGGTGGGTAAAATCGGAAAAAGGCAGACTTAAAACGGAAGCATGTATTATTTAAAAATAAATAAAAAGTAAGCAAGCAACACGGGCATTTGAGAAAATCCTCTACAGGATGCCTTTATACGGCATCTAAGCCTTGGAAACCTGTCTGCAGCAATGAAAGAAGAATTATTCCAGGCCATAGAAATTCCCTTTGCATCAAGAACACTAGCTGTGTTATACCAGTGTTTGTTTCCCTGAGAAGCTTCAGGGTCCCAATGAGCCTAGAGGTTTAAAATTCATGCTCCTTTTGTTTCCTTGCTGCATGAAGTAATTCCATTGCAGTAATACTCCTCGGTACACGCCGCACATTGTAATGTCATCAGCGGTGTGTCCATCTGCACTGAAAAGCCTTGCCACAGGAGACAGGGCAGAGTCTCTTGAGATGAACATTCTTAATTAAGAATGAAACCCTCCCCTGTTCCCCTGCCTGCCTGTGCCCTGGCTGTACAGTAAGCCTTGCACAGCACGGTGATCCTGAAAGGCTCTCCTCTGCCAAACAGCTTTACATTTGTTTGGAATCCCTTGCTGCATTTTCAGATCCTTCCTGCCCGCCGGTCGAGCGAGGGGCCTCCCTCCCCACAGCCCTTATTTCCCCGGTTCTGAAAACCAGCAGAAGTTGTCGCAGCTGAAGATCCAAGCTCTTAAAGGAGGGAGCGGATCTAATTTGCATTTTGTTCTTAATTCAATAGGAAGGCTTTTGTTTTCTGGAGTCAGCATTTCTCTTAACAAGATTCAGCACACTTAAATTGCTTTTAATATTTAACAATAGGAACACTTTGCACTTAAATGGTGCTTTTCAGAGTGCTTTTCAAATCTTAAATAATTTAAGAATAGTATTTTCCCCCTTCTATAGGATGTCCACTCCGGAGGATCTCCGAATCACAGAATCTTCTAGGTTGGCAGGGACCTTAAAGATCATCTTGTCCAACCGTCAACCTAACTGACAAAAATAGACACCCACACAACAAAAAGCAGTCCTCAGATACTAATGTATTAGGGCTCTCAGCAGCCCAGTGAGGTGAGCTTACCCTACCACCATTAAAGATAAGGACACGGAGACATCGAAGAATTAAGTACAAGAGTTCCAAAAAGGTCCTTCCCGCTGTAATGCCTTCAGAGAGGCTTTCAGCATGTCCCAGCAGCTGGCACAGCCACAGCTCTTGCAAACCCCATCACGTATTTTGGTGCCCGGGCAGGAGCTGGACTGGTGTTTAGGAGTTTAGCCCGAAATGACCCGTACCAGGTGATGCAGCAGATGGGGAACTAAAACCAGGAATGCATCTGTAGCACTGTGACTGCCAGCATCCAACGCTGACCCCGTCGGCTGCTTTGTCAGTAACTCCTATAAAGATTTCACCCCAGGTTCTGTGCTCTAGTGCCCCAATGCAAGTTATCCCCTGAAATGTCTTGATTTCAATGTCAGCCTTTTTTTCGAAAGCTAAATTATATGCAGGATGTTACAAGGTTATTTTTTTTTTTTTCCCCATGATGAAGCACGCATGTTAACCAGATAAGCAGTGTTTTGGGGACTGTGTTGCCACCTATTCTTTTTTCAGAAGGCCCCCCTCCTCTTTTTTTTTTTAATCTCTTGATGCCAAATGTTGGCTGACTTCCCTGTGTTTGTTTCAGTGCTTACCATTGGGATCACTGGACCTGCCAGCGCCACAGGGTTAAGCAGCTCAAATTTCTCTGCTGAGCGGCTTATTATAACAATGCACACTGTAGCTGTTTAAAACACAGTCTGATGACACTTAGCAGTTGCTGGACAGATATTCTCTCCTTTATTGCTCCTTCTAGTCATTAACTAGAGGGATGCGCCACTCAGTTAATATTAAGGCGATTCCAAATTCAGATGAGACAGAACACAAATTCCATTATTTTTGAGGGTTGCTCTTGTTGCTGGTTGTGCTTTTTTTTTAAGACCACTATGTAGCTTTCAATTTTCCGGAGTGAATACAGAAATATTGCAGGATATTTGATTATTTCCGATTCTTTTGATCTACTGTAACCAAAACCAAGGAATCTTTGCAGAAGGAAAATACATCCTAGTTTTCTAGGCAGATTTTAATCTAAGCATATCAGGCTGATCTATTATCTGTTTATCAGAACCAGTCTTCTTGAAAATTATGCTCAGCACAGAGCATTTAGCTTACTGTACTGGAAGACACTCCCTAGTATGACAAATGCTGTCACGATGAACAATGCCGACAACTTCATGCCTGGTACAAATTAACTGAGCCAAGTCCATATTCCAGCTCAAGTTCAGTATATTCAGCAGTCCTTTTGCAGACCGCTTGTTACAGATCATACTGAATGCAAACTTGTATTTTTGGCTTTTGGATCGTGAGGCACTACCATAGATTCATTCAGATATACTCTCTGAGGCCTCGTAATAAAGTAATACTTACAAGGCTTTATTACAAGACTTATGTTTCATTGGAAAATGTTAGGCTTTTTTTTTTTTTTTTTTCCCTTTTGCATGATCAGAGTGGAAATGAGACAGTTGGCCAAAGCTGTAAGATGAGTATATAGCAGAGCCAACAGAAAAAAAAATCCCTAACTGCTAACTTCCTCCTGGAACACATTGTTTTAAAGTATAAGCTTCATATTCTGTTAGCAATATAGAATGTCCTTGCCAATAAAATATAGCATTTACCACACCAAATTAAGCTTTTTTTTTTTTTTTTTTTCCCTTTTGCATGATCAGAGTGGAAATGAGACAGTTGGCCAAAGCTGTAAGATGAGTATATAGCAGAGCCAACAGAAAAAAAATCCCTAACTGCTAACTTCCTCCTGGAACACATTGTTTTAAATCCTTTAGGGCTGGCAGAAAAGCACGTCACTTCCCAGCAGCATGGGGTCTTTCCAATTCAGGGTTGGTTTTTTTTTTTTTTTTTTTTTTTTTGCTGAAACGAGCGGTAGTTTTTAAAGGTCCCATACCCAACGTTAAAATACTGCCTCATCTCCTGGCGTCTGTTGCGCATGATAGCCTTGTACTCGCCAATGCGTAATTTTTTGCCATCTACAAGGCAGGTACGCTTCGGCCTTGGCTTGTATTTGTAGTCTGGGTATTTCTCCAGGTGCTGCTTGCTGAGTCGTGCCTGTTCCTCATAGTATGGCTGCTTCTCTAGGTTTGTCATAGCTTTCCAGCGAGATAAAAAAAAAAAAAAAAGAAAAAAAGAATGAGAAATGAGATTCTACTCTTCAATAAACACTGAAAGGCAGAGAAACAAGTAGGTCACCCAGAACAAGATACCTACGGTCATAACGCTTTGGGCTGGGAATATGTCAGAGCTTCTAGACAGGGGTCAGGTCTTGTTTATATTTGACTGGTAAACCTCTTGGCTATGGCCAAGAGGCAGAGAGAGGGGAGACTGGAAGTTTTGACTCAATATTTTAATGAAACGCATCTACATTATAATGTTTTTCAGGTGGGAAGTAAAACCACCATCCCGACGACGAGAAACCCCTGACACTTTGTTTCAGAAAACAAGGCAGTGTATTTAAATGGAATGGCCAAAGAAACCCCTAGATACACAGAGTCTGTTCTGCCAATTCCCCCTGACTTCTCTTTGGCCACGGGTCCGTTTTCACCTCCTCTTCTGGAGGAGGCACCAATTCCACGCGCTGCAATCTAGTCGCTGTGCCCCACCACAGCTGGATCAAGGCATAAACTCTGGATAGGCACGTGTCTACAGCTTAGTCTTTCATGACAAATAACCTATCTTTCCAGCTTCCACGTTTGTGAGAAGCAGAACACGAACTGATCGTAAATGCTGCTGGGTACAGGAGCCTGCAAAGCCCCTGCAGCAATGCCTCTAAGAGCTATAAACTATCCCATACGTCTCACTGGGGTTTTCTCTCCAAGACCAAAGCCTGGTGAACGTTGCCAGCTCCAACTTAAAGAATTTAGTATGTGTCATGATCTCCAGAGGTCCCTTCCAACCCCATATGATTCTATGAAGGGAAGAGCACTGGGATACTGGCATACCTCTCCACGGAGCTGCACTATGGTTTCATTGTTGGCAGCCCTGTTTCTGACACTGCCTATGTTAGTGTCTATATTTGAGCTAGGGAAATAAGGAAGACTTTACAATTATTTTCAACTGCCTCCTGAAAATTAGAAACTAATATGTCTTAAAGGGATATTACATGGGAGCAGAAAGTATAATTTCTTGAATGGGTTGCCCTGTTTTATTTTTCCATGAACTACAGAAGTGCTTCAGGGTAAGGTATGTTTCAAATAATGGGAATGGTCCAAGCTGTGAAACGTGCAGCCTAGAAGGAAAACTTTATTGGAAAATAGTCAATTTTCCCATTGGAAAAAAGTTTTGAATAGTTTCTCAATTTAATGGGTTCATAATGTCGTATGTCATACTTGACTTCCTCTTGTTCTTCATTTTTTATGGTTACGCATACCGTACTCAGCTCATGCTATTACTCAGGCTGGTCTTAGCTCACTGTGCCCCTAAGACTCACAATATAAAGAGTGTCGTTACCCTCCCCAGGAAAGAAAACAGTTTGGTTCCCTCTAGAAAGCCTCCTCCTGATCATTGACACCATTTCCCCCATCACTCTTTGAATCTTTACTCCAAGCTGCAGTTTGGGCTCCCAGAGTGAAGGGCAAACACGTTGACAAAGCCTGACCTCAAAACTAGAGACAACCCATTCGTAAATAACCACGTCTTTGTTCTGAAAAGGAGCAAGAGACATCCCTTTCATGGCAAGCATGACTTTGCATTCAAAACCATAATTTTTCATGATTTTTACAACACGTCACAGCTAGTTCTGGAATGGGAAAGGGTTTAATTACATCGTTATTAGCTTAGGTACAGCATGCAGGAGTGTGACTAGATTTGTTTCTAGGATTTGGACTAAACTGCAGGGCATTTTGCATGTCATACAGACGTCGTAGCTGTGCAGAGGGATCCGTGGCAGGGCTCTGTGTTACGCAGGGCAACAAACCGCTGCAGCCAGAACCCCGGTCAGCAGCTTTGCCTCCTGCGGAGAAATTATTCCAAGCTTTTTTTTTTTTTTTCTGGCAGAGAAAGCGACGCCAACTTTCCACACGCAGTAACTCCTAGGTTTGGGGTTAAATGACACAGTGATAAACATGTGGCGACTGCCAAAACACTGAGCACCTACTAATGCTGAGTAAGATGGAAACATAGACAGGGCCTGTGTTGAACCATGTCAAGAATTCAGGGTGAAGCCTGTGAGCTCTACAGGAAGATGCCCAGATGTAGGTCGACCTTCAAATTCTACATCAGAGACCCTGGCACGCTGGCGTTGTAGCACATGAAGAAAATCATAAAAGTTAGTCTAAACCCAGAGTTTTCTAATCACAGACCTGCTGTAGACTGGCTTAGAAAAACAGCCCCAGTCCCATTTCCTGCTGAGGAATCAGTTTTTATTTATGAATAATAAAGTTGAAAACCTCAGTCTTTAAGCAAATCTTAAAAACTGCTATAGAACACTGTGAGGGAACCTGCAATGTAGAACCTCAGAAACTTCATTTTTTATGGTTACGCATACCGTACTCAGCTCATGCTATTACTCAGGCTGGTCTTAGCTCACTGTGCCCCTAAGACTCACAATATAAAGAGTGTCGTTACCCTCCCCAGGAAAGAAAACAGTTTGGTTCCCTCTAGAAAGCCTCCTCCTGATCATTGACACCATTTCCCCCATCACTCTTTGAATCTTTACTCCAAGCTGCAGTTTGGGCTCCCAGAGTGAAGGGCAAACACGTTGACAAAGCCTGACCTCAAAACTAGAGACAACCCATTCGTAAATAACCACGTCTTTGTTCTGAAAAGGAGCAAGAGACATCCCTTTCATGGCAAGCATGACTTTGCATTCAAAACCATAATTTTTCATGATTTTTACAACACGTCACAGCTAGTTCTGGAATGGGAAAGGGTTTAATTACATCGTTATTAGCTTAGGTACAGCATGCAGGAGTGTGACTAGATTTGTTTCTAGGATTTGGACTAAACTGCAGGGCATTTTGCATGTCATACAGACGTCGTAGCTGTGCAGAGGGATCCGTGGCAGGGCTCTGTGTTACACAGGGCAACAAACCGCTGCAGCCAGAACCCCGGTCAGCAGCTTTGCCTCCTGCGGAGAAATTATTCCAAGCTTTTTTTTTTTTTTTCTGGCAGAGAAAGCGACGCCAACTTTCCACACGCAGTAACTCCTAGGTTTGGGGTTAAATGACACAGTGATAAACATGTGGCGACTGCCAAAACACTGAGCACCTACTAATGCTGAGTAAGATGGAAACATAGACAGGGCCTGTGTTGAACCATGTCAAGAATTCAGGGTGAAGCCTGTGAGCTCTACAGGAAGATGCCCAGATGTAGGTTGACCTTCAAATTCTACATCAGAGACCCTGGCACGCTAGCGTTGTAGCACATGAAGAAAATCATAAAAGTTAGTCTAAACCCAGAGTTTTCTAATCACAGACCTGCTGTAGACTGGCTTAGAAAAACAGCCCCAGTCCCATTTCCTGCTGAGGAATCAGTTTTTATTTATGAATAATAAAGTTGAAAACCTCAGTCTTTAAGCAAATCTTAAAAACTGCTATAGAACACTGTGAGGGAACCTGCAATGTAGAACCTCAGAAATAATTTTAGACAGATGGACAGACAGAAAGAATATATTATAATAGAAATTATAATCAGTTGTTTCAATTGCCATGAAAATGTTCTATCCCAGCACCGTTCCTTTCTCAGGGCACCAGCTCACTTGTTGCAATCCTACAGTCAGGTCTGGGCAGGCAGATTCCTACCCCCTCATGTGAAAAGATCTGTAAATAGTGGGTGAAGTTAGGCAAACACATAAGTCTCTGCAGGATCAGGGCCATAAAACCCGAAATTTTGATGCCTAATATTTGTACCTACAGTTACGCATACAATATTTATACAGAAATGTCATTTGTTATGTTTTTCCTTCTTAAGCTGCAAACTCAATGCAACGTAAATCCTGGCAGTCTCGCCTCTCTTCCTAGCAAATTTTTAATAGCTGCCTTCTGCAGTGATACCTCTTCTTACTATGACTTTACTGTTTTTACAAAAAATACTAAATATCATTTACTAGTATGTTTTGAAGTACCATAAATAATTAAACAAACAATGCTGTCAAAATAAAGTTTGAAAAAGGGCACATTTTCTGATGATAAACCCTTGGGTTTTTTACATTTTATTATTTTCACTTATTTTCTTAGCAATATACAGCATCCAATCAGCTCTCCAATTGCTCTTAATGTGAAATTTTGAAAGTTTGAAGAATATGTGACTGTGACCTTTGAATCTGCACTCCCAGGCAAGCTAAGCTACCGTCAATCAACACACTAAAACTGCTTAAAAATGCGTTGTGCTTGGACAAAATATATTTGTAATAGCTTTATCTGCCATTGTTTTATGTGTCTATAGACACACACGGGCAGGCACAGGTACCAAGCTCAAGCCCAAACAAGGTGTGATTGAAGAAACTTGAAAAAATCCTTCCTTTTAAGGGAAGATTTACGCTGTTGGGTGAGCTTTCTGCTCACCATCTGCGTTAGAAAGCTTTGAGTGGGTCAAGTACGTGAGGCTTTTCTCCTTGACTATGAAAACAAGAGCCCCTTCACTTAGAGCTGAGCCTACAGGATGGCTGGGAGGGTGGCTGTAGATGCCACCTATTTAAGGCCAGGGCAGAAAAAGAGATGTCCCCACATGGTGCCCTGGCACTTGTGCTGGGGCACACACACACAAGGTGGGGTTAGGAGCCAATGCTTATCGCTGATTTTAAACCAAGTCTTTTCTGACCAGATTTTTCAGCTGTTTGTAATATTGCCCAACTTTTAGTCCATTAGACTGACGTTTTTCAGTCTGAGTATCTGAACCAGGCTGTTTTTATGTTTGAAAAAATCCCCTCACATACACAAACACTTGTATAATGTATAGGTATGTGTATAGATTTATATCCACACACCCCTCCACAAGAGAGAGTTTCTGCAGGTAGTGTCCAACTTTGTCTTTTCCTAATCTCTTTATGCAGATTTCTCAGTGAAAGTAATTAAAATATTTACAAAAATATCTAAACAATGCATTATTAAATTGATAGGGTCCAGCAGACCCATTTTAGCACTTTTAACAATTTACTAAAAAAAAATCATTATCCACAAGTTTAAGTTGCAATGAACAGATGGATGACAAACGTATGCACAGATGAATTTAGTGACAAATCCATGTATCTAATTTTTATGCTCAAAACATAATACCACTGTGTCAAACATAATCCCTAGAGAATTCTAGCGCTGGGAAGGGCACCTCCTCTCATTTTACTATAAAAATGACCCTTGGTCGGTGACAACTCCATCTAAGCTACTCTCCGTGACAACGGGCTCTCTGACCTCAATGTGTAGCAGTGCTGCGAAAAAAACTGGCAGGGAAAAATTGTGGCTTTCTAATAAAGAGATCCTAATACCTGGCTGAACTGTAAGCTTCTAGTTGCTCTCCCTACGCCAGTTAACAGAGAGCTCCCCGCTGACTTCAAAAGACTGGCCTTTTGCAATCGAGGGAAGACCTTTGTAAGGTTTCTGTCAAGAAAGAAGATGTGAGGACATCCCCCTCCATTGCATAGGTGGAGTAAAAAAAAATGAAATGTGAAGCTGGAAAGAAATAGAACCATCATCTCTTGCTGCTTCAGACCTTGCTTTCCCCCATATCTGGCAGCAAAACAGAAAGAGTTTGGAGTCAGCTATACTGTCTGTCACCTCAACAGGATCTGTAATGAATTTGCACATTTTACTCCAACTACTGTATATCTAATCAGAAAAAGATGTCCCCGTATCTCCCTGATCTAGCGCCAAACAGTAAAAGGTGATTCCTTATGTTAACAATTTCAGCAGAATGGCTTATTAAAACCAGATTTTAGGGTATTATAAAATGCTTAGAAGCCCTTTAAAATGTCAACCAGGATCCCCAGAGACTGCGTAAAATGTCAGCCCAGCTCAAGCGCCTGTTTTAAGCAGAATGAATTAGCAGCGTGCTGTCGGAGGTTGTTATCCAAAACAATCAGTTAAGAGGGAAAACATCAAGCTCTCTTTGTACTTTCTATATGAAAAGGGCCATTCAGAACGATCTTGTAGATTTCTGAAGCTGATTATTTAAAAACAGGTTTAACCAGGTCTACTCTCAATTTAGAAACAGACCAAAACTATTACTGCCCTGTCCTCAGCCTAATCACATCATACACCTCTGACCAGCATAATCCCTTTTAACCAGTATAAGGTTATTTTACCATCAACATAACCAATTTAGCCTTCTAATCCTGTTCCCATAACTAATCTAATCATCTCCTACCACCCTTTTAATCATGGGTTAATATCGCCCCATCTGCCATCTACAGCCAATACATTCTGCCTCTCCGACCAATTTTATCTCATTTCCACTTGCTCCCTGCTAACTTTTCATAAAGCTACTCTCAGCAAGATGAACTTCAAACCTCTGACCAGTCTAAACTCAGCATATTTACCAGCCCTGCAGTCAGTTACTGCTGCCATTATTACAATTACGCTCCGTCTCCCAAGTTGTCTGCAAAACCAATGAGACCTGCAGCCCCGGTAAACACTGTCCTTGCTTAAGCTTCTGCCCACTGGCCTGAGGGATGCTTAGGTCCTGCAACACAGTCTTTACCAATAAAAATGCAATATCTCTGATTTGGTCACGGATTTTTTATTTTTTATTTTTTTTTTCTGCAGAAGAGTAATTCATTAGCCTCATCGTTCACCTTCTGTATCATTCAGCGTGTCACTTAGGACAGAATGCGGTCCTGGGAATTTGAGTAAGTAGTGAAAAGTTGGAAGATTTTGGCATGAAATTTGGTAGGTGATGTTAATGACAAATATTGCTTGGGATGTGAAGAGAAGAGGATAAGGAAATTAGTTCTGATGTTTCTTTTTTTGATTTCAGGATTCTTTTCAAAATATTCAGAATAAAAGTAGCTTGTGATAGAGATCATGTACTAAAGGGAAATCGAATGTAACAGGAACATAATAAAAATCCTTTGAAACTGTCAGCGTATAAAATAAAAGGATGTATTTTAGGATTTTTTTCCCTATGGCCATTGATTTGAACAGAAAGTGCTATGGCACAAATCGAATCCTGTGGTGTGCTACCCATAGAATATAGTTAGATGAAATGTGTGGACAAATAAACGATAGCAGTCGTTTTGTGCTTGTTCCACAGCCTAATGAAATGAACTGCTTTTGTCTATTCAGTTCATGTTTTCACACCAAAACCACCACCACCACCATCTCAGTAATTACAAAGCCACAAGAACACGTCAGGTTATGGTTAATGTAGACCGTTGGGCAGCGCGGCAGAAGCTCCTATCACTGTTGTCCTTGGTGCAGTCATTAAGTAGCAAAAAAGACACTCTGGAGACAGCAATTCTGTTGTGTCAGGGGCTCAGCTCTATTAGATGGAAAGTTTTTTGAGATTTGGTACCGAAAGAACAGTGCTCCATCACTCTTACCTAGTATCTTGCTGATATTGGAGTTGTGCATGTCAGGGAAGGCTTGAAGGATCTTCCTCCGTTCATCTTTAGCCCACACCATGAATGCATTCATTGGGCGCTTGATATGGGGCTCATTGCTGCCACGCCCTCTGGATTCCCGATAAATTCTAGACTCTGAAACTCCTGCACTTCCTAAAAAGAAAGAGAAAAATATTCCCAGCTTATGTTTCATTATGCAGCTACCTCTGCCATCACCTTCCTATGTCAGGTTCTGCACATTCACTGAGTCAGTGTTCACAATCGGTTAATGTTATTTTTTTTTACTCGAAGCATTAGGAAATACCACATATGGTATACATACCAATGCATATTGTCTGGTTTTTAGTTATTCTATTGATTCAGTATCACATAGCATAGACTTGATGAAGAGTTCCAATTGTTTTTTTCAAATACAATTTCCTAAACCGTCTTTTACTTCTTAATAATATAAACCCAACACTTATCAATATAGATTTTCTTTTCACTTTCTTCCTTTCTTGATTTCAGAATGCTGGTCTTATTATGTTACCTATTTTCTACCTTTTTTATGGTGGGAATGGGATGATATATGGCAATCATCAGGTGTTTCGTCTTAAGCAAGTCCCCAGCTAGCAAATGAACATTGACACATGTTTTTGTGCTTACCTCTCCATAACAACATAACCAACAGCAGAGACAGAAATGAACATTACGCTTACTTCATCAAACCAAGGAAGTTCCTACAGATGCAGAGGGTGCATCATATGTGGATGATGAGGCTTATAATTCATGGGGTCACTGTGTGATCTCATTTATCCCACATCTATTTGCCTCTTTTATTCCCTTTTACCGTAAGAAGGACATTCTTGGTCCAGTCTTGAGAAGTGCAGTGTACAAAAGAGAAGGCTAAAAATCACCTCCAGAATTAAAACACCACATGATGAATCATTTTTTCCTGCCTTGTTTCATAGCCACTTATTGCTAACCACTCTTACTCCTCACAGGCCTCCAAAGCACTTGGATTCTCCTCCAGATCCCATCGCCATGTACACACGAACCTGGAAATAAGGCTACGCCATTTGTACTGACCGTCAGAATCTCCACTCATGTTGAAATCCATCATCGCGTGGCTAAACTTCCCGTCTTCACCCTGTTTCACTGCCAGTTGCTGAGTCAGGGTCTCCAGTGTCGTTTTGTCCTATACGGGCAAGATGATGGGATTTGGATCAGGAAAATAACTGAACATTGTAACTGCAAAGTTCATAGGTAATTTAGAAGGCTGATAGGGAAGCTGGATAACAACTCATTCTCAACAGTTTACTGAGCCAGCTATTTAAGAATACTTAACAATATTTTTTCTGGAAGGGATATGGTTGCAGACTCTACCGAGTTCCTTTTATAACACGCTTATTAGCTAGTGATGAGCAAACTTCACAGCGTTGAAAAGATCGGTTTAGTTAGGCATGATACAATTGGCTGCACATCTGAAGAATGCTTCAACTTTCCCCATCCCTGAGACTGCAAAGTTGGACTGGAAGTTCAGATCATACATGCTCTTTCGCACTGTATTTATTGTTTTACTCCACTTCCAGCCTGCAATCGAAGTGCAGAGACACGGGCGACTTTGCCCTTTTTCTTTTTTTGAAAGGCAATATTTTAGGAAGTAGCCCACAGGGGAAAAAAAAAAAACAAAAACAAAACAACAAGCCAAACCCTGTAGTTCAAACTTATTCAGGCCTTGGGAAAGGGTCAGGCTGAATTAAGCGAGATATTTGGGCAGCAGTTTGTGCTCTTGTCCAGCCTGTTTTGCCCAACCCTACTAACACCCCGTCCGTCACTCATCTGGTCAGAACTATCTGTGAACCCTGGATTGCAACAGGCCAGTGCGTGCTGCCAATTCATCCGTCAGGCTGCAGCGGTGTCTAAAGACATTGCCAGAACAACGTGCCAGGGCCATCAATTCCAATGTTCTTTTCAAAACACCTCGCTTCCCCCTGAATTGTTTGACTTCGCAAACACAAAGGTGCTCCATTTTCCAACTGCTTTTGTTTTCCCAATGAATTTTACTCATAAACATTCTATCTTCCTGACAATCATATGTTTAAAAATAAATCTTTCGGGAAAGCAATACTAACATTTCAAAATGTTAGGCGCTGTGCCTTTTGCAAAGCTAAGAAAATGACATGATACGGAATGATAATAAAGTGGCTCCAGTCGAAAAAATTCTTTTGAGCTTCTTTTGGAAAGAAAGATTGCTGTTTTGTTGCTCTCTTCCACTCCTGATGACTGTAAAAGATCAACAAACTAAAAAAACTTTTAGATTTCACATGGCAAGCGGAGACTTTACAACTATTCTACGTAGCCTAATAATGTCACCGGGTTGTAGTACAGAAGAAAACAGAAAAGAGAACAATGCGAATACAGAAACGCTTCCCGCAATGAGCTGTCCCTGCATCTGCAATTCAAAGAACAGTTCAAATTCCTGCAAGTCATTTCACAAAGATTTTCTTGAGAGAGTTAGAAAAAAAAGGCTGATCTGCCAACTTTGTCCGCTGCCACAGAGTAGGGCACGCGAGGTTAACTTTCCTTCTCCTCACGTTCATTGTCATCCTGGATCCCTTTTGCACTGCTGGTGCTCGGGCTGTAAGCAGACCCATCGCCACCAAAACTGCACGAGATGAGTTAGCCTCTTGGTTTTTGCAGGGAAAATGCGTGCTGCAGAGTCAGCCTAGCTCAAGCAAAAAGGTTTCTGTAACGCTTCCAGGCAGAACAGATCCAGAGAGCTTGGAGAAGCTTCCAATAAGCACCTGAACTATTCAGGCATTTAGCTTTACCAAACTCTTTGATCTACCGGTTTTAACTCAGCTCTCGTTTCCAAAGCAGCCTGTCGGTGGACAGAAAGTCAGGAATAAGTTGATTTTGTATTTCTTCCAAATGGGTCTCAGTTATATAACGGAAGTCAACAGGTTTCCCTTAGAAAAAGGAAAAACATATTTACTGTCAACTCCATAATGATAGAGTTCAAAAACTTTTATGTCAGAAATCATTTTAAAATGCTGCCCCCAACCTAAAATATAAAAGAACATCTCCTCTTATATGAAGGGGGTTATTCTGCTGCGGACTTTTCTTGAATCATGTATAAACCTCTTAGAGAAACAGAGCTGAGAGCGCAAAGGGCACAGGCTTAACAGCTTTTTCTTTATGCAGTAAATGCAGCTGTTGAAGGCAGCGGCAGCTACATTCAGACCCACGCTCTGCCCACATGATCTGATGGAGCCTTAAGGTCAGCGGATGCTCCCTGCAAGGAGCTCGTTTCTCAGAGCTGGACCTAACAAGCCTACAGGTGCTCTGCTGCTATCCCTCCGGGGCAAAGTTCTGCATTTGGAGGTACAGCCACATCGGATGAAGGTCGCAGAGCTGGATGAGGAGGCACCTCTCTGGCCAGCCCAAACACAGGGAGACCACCCTTTCAACACGGGGACAATTTACTCCCCGCTACTGAAACACAGAGAGTGACAATGCAATTCCATCAGCAATCACGGAATCACGGAATTGTCAGAGTTGGAAGGGACCTCTAGAGATCATCTGGCCCAACTTCCCTGCCAAAGCAGGGTTGCCCAGAGCACATCACTCAGGAGCATCCAGGTGGGGCTTGAAGATCTCCAGAGAAGGGGACTCCACACCCTCCCTGGGCAGCCTGTTCCACTGCTCCATCACCCCCACCCTAAAGAAGTTTTTTGAATGGAACTTCCCATGGTCCAGCTTGTGCCCGTTGCTCCTTGTCCTATCGCTGGAAACCACTGAAAAGAGTCCGGCTCCAACATCCTTCAACTCACCCTTTAGATACTTATAAACATAAATAAGGTCTCCACTCAGTCTTTGCTTCTCCAGGCTAAAGAGTGATAAGGTAGTGGTTAAACAGAACTTCTGCCCAAGGCTGGTCTCGAAATAGAGGGTGTCGAAACAGCCAGCTGTACATTCCCATGTTAAATGTTTAGAAATGTTTAAGTTTAAAAAGTACTCAGGCAAGAATAAGTCTAGGGCCTGCTCTTTCCTAAGCCTCTGCAACCGCATTGGGAGAGCTGAAAGAGATGAGCAACACCCTGGCAAGATGCAGAAGCCTGTCTACACGTAAGTAGCGTTCTGATTTCCTGTCTTACGCTCTTCCCATTAAACACACAGCAGCTGATTTTCCCCAGTCCTGACATATAGAAAAGCTTTAACAATGGCAAAATATTCAAAAGAGGCTAAGCAGCGTTCTTGTGTCGTTTTGCCAGAAAGCTTTCACTTGATGACTTACTGCTTTTTGTTTGATGGAAGCATCTCCTTACCTTTCCTATAGAGCCCTTCAGTTGATGGAGAAAACATTTATGAAAGCCCCAAAGAAACAAAAGGAAAAAAAATCCTTTCTTCCCTGACCCCCAGTAAACGGCCAACCTGCTGACATTGCTAGCCCAGCCTCCTCTCACAGAACCTATTTGAGAACTTCTGACAAGAGACCCACAATGGTTTCAAGTTTATACACAGGGAGAATCTATGTGTCATCATTATCTTAATGCAACAGCAAATTACACATTCCTAAAATTGCCACCACTCTGCTCTGGTGGATTAGCTGTGTAAACAGTAGCAAGCTGTGGTACCATCCAGGGATAACAGGTGGAGTATATGCACGTGGGGCTCAGCAGCACACTTTAATAAAGGGGTTGTGATGCAGCCCTCCAACTCAGAAGGCAGTGGTAAATTCCTGCACACCACACTGGGCCAGGCGCAAACTTATCGTTCTATCGAGCCCTACATCCACTTGGCTTGCTGGGCAGAGAAAGAAACAGGGAACAGAGTTCAAGTGGTGAAATCATACATGCTTTCAAGTTTTTAAAGCTACAAGAAAACAACCAGAGCGATAATTCCTTCCTTTCAGATTTGTCCCACGCCCCAAAGATATCAAATGCTACTCATCCTATGAGCAATGCGTGAGTGGCACCAACTGCAGCCTAAAACCAATGCAATGCCTGGGGAGAACAGGGAAGGTTGGTCCAGACCCAGGGAAATAAGGCAAAGAAATGCCCCTGAGACCTGCTAAAAGTCAGGCAGCACAAAGCAGTGAAAACAAAAGGTAAGGAACGCCCCCGCTCTTGCAGGAGAAGAAACACAGGGATCTCTTGCTAAAGATTTCACTGAATTTCACTGATGAATTTCACTGATTTTTACTTGATTTCACAAGATGAAATGATTCTTTTTCTTCTGAATTTCAGATCAGGCCCCAGAAGGCTGAAATGCATCTTATAAATATCTTTTTCCTCTATGAAGAGGTTGGGAGAAATTATCCTAATGGTCATTTCTACTGGATTGTAGGAGAGACTCTCCGTAGGGGCAGTGAGAGCTCTGTTGTCTGGATCATTTAAAATGGTAATGGCCAAACCAGAGAAGATGATACTGCAGAGAGCAATCAATCCCACAATAGTCCAATTGTCCAAACATAACCAGAGAAGTTTCATCAATAGCCACAATGTGATGAGAAGTTTCTAAAACTTTATTAATCAAAGAAAGTAATCTTTCTTTGAGAAGGTTGATTAGCACCACAGCTCCTAGCAATGGTCTAATTATAAAAGAAAGAACAATGAAAAACACATACACACATGGAATGTGTCATGTAGAAAAAAATATATAAAAAATGACTAAGCACCGCAAGTCAGACTCAGTTTTGTGGTCAGCTGCAAAAGTTACTTGGCTCTCTGTCATGGATAGCTGTCATAGTTTAACAAAACATTGATCTAAAAATGACAAGAACTTGGTTGCAGTCTCTTTCATAGAAGAAACATAAAACAAGAAGAGTCAAAACATATGTAGAACAGCCTGATAATGGTTGCCAAAACTCCTCCCACTACTTTACAAACATGAAGCAAAACCTTGGAAGGTTTGAGAAAGCAAGACCTTCTGATATCTTTCCCTCCTCTCCTCTGACCTTGCTCCTCCTTTCCTGTGCTGGATGGTGCTACCAACACTCAGGGTCCACCTGAGATCACGTGCACGCCTCCACGCCTGAAGGACTCCACAGTTCTTCCAGAGTCCTGCGAATGCTGGGCATATGGCAACGGATCCCTCCTCCCCCTCTTTGAGACATCCTTTTGGCTAGGGTATCTGGCAAACGCCGACAGTACTCTGAACTCCGTTAGAATTGTATTTTGGCAAGAGCTGTTT